ATGGGAGTTTTTCTTTCCTTGCCAAGTGGAGGAGGACGACAAGCAGCAAGAGGAAGACTTGAGAAGAGGCACCAACGAGATGTACATGTAGTTAGTTACGGGTAGGTACCTTTTCCCCCTTCGTTCGCTTACTTTTAGTGAGGAAGCTGTCTGGCGTTTAAAACGAGACGTTGATGTCAGGTAGCCCCAGGCGCGGGACGGTAAGCTTGCGTCGCTTCGCTTGCTGTCAGCGGGTTGAGAAGAAAAAAGCAAGGGTGCAATGGCTGCCAAGAAGACGAAGAGTTGAAGTGTCGAAGAGAGTGAGATTCGGAAGTCGGAAACGGTGACGATGAGCTGGAGGATGAAGATGTGGATGAAGCAGGCAGGCAGGCTAGGCATGCAGAGGAGGGCGACGAGGAAAACGACGGGGGTTGGCGGTACGAGACGCTCCTTCCTTTGGTACCTTAGTCTCTACCTAATGACAAGAGGCTCACCCTGGGCTGGACGGGTGGACGCGGGGTCGGGTGCCTAGGTAGTAGGTATGGAGTCCGTAAGAGCAAAGCAACACAAGCAGGATGTAGGTAGCACATACTGGCATACCTTAGTAGACATGATGAAGCGGAGATGAGAAGGAGAGAAACCACAGCCTGCTGTTGGTCTTGCTTTCCAGATTCTTCTGGTAAAGGAATCGGGAGTCGAGGCGTGATGGGCCAATTTGATGAGAATTATCTCATCTTGATCTACGGAGAATCAAAGGGCATTCGAGTGTGTCGTTGGCTGTATATTTGCCTTTCTTACTTGAATTTCCTGTCTAACTACACAGAGCACACAAAAGGTTGACTTGTCTCGTCTCGTTTCGTTCTGTTTTACGGCCTCGCTTTGCTTCAAAGAACCACCTCGTTTGCCCCTGCTCATTCTGTTTTCTGCTTCTAACGCTGCCGCTGCCACGAAGGGTTGCCGCTGCTCTGTTTCCGAGTTCCAACGAGTGAGTGATTGCTTGCTTGCTTGCTGCCCTGTGGGCCCCCCCCCCCCGTTCTGGCGCGCATCCAACATGGAAGGAAACCTTGAAGTGAGGTGCGAAGGAAGTCCTGTGCGATGTCTGTCTGGGGTGAGGAACCCATCCGACACATGTCACTCTCCGCCGCCGTCAACTGCGAAAGTGACCTCGACCGGGATGCTCAGCCAGGCGGTAGTCCGGTCAGTGGCTGAGAAGTGATGGTATTGCCAAGGTACCCACGAGTACATACTCGCGCCAGCCAGCGGATGGCACTAAAACGAGTTTGCGGGTGCGCTAGGTGGAGGAACCTCCCTCGGGTCGATTTCTGGGCAGTGTAAGGCTGAGAACGCGCCCAATGGCCCCAATCCTGTCTCTGGATTGGACTGCGCAGGTTTAAACTGGCTGCAGCGCGAGTTGTGTGCGGTGCGGAGCTCTGAAGCACAAAGTACCTACTGAGTTGGACTCTGTTTGTACCTCGCACGCATCCATCTGTACGAACATGTGTTGCAGGACTTTCACCTCCTAGTGGTACAGGACGCTCACTAGGTATTTGCATGCCAGCACACAAAGCATCGTGAGATAGCTGAAAAGATACCTTGGGGTGCTTGACTAGCCAGGTCTCGTCTCGTCTGCGGCCAGATCAGATCACCGACGGGTTTCGTCCAGTCTTCCGTCGCCGTTGTCAACGTCTGTGACCCGGGCGGAGGAGGGGGCCGTAGCCATCTACACGAGGCATCTCGAGACTGGTTTCTCCCCGGTGCCTGTGCCAGGACTCAGAGAACCCCAAAACATTGGACGACGTCTGTCGGGGTTCCTTGTCTGCCCACCTCCAGCCCGCAGTGACAAGGCACAACAAGGTTGACGGCGAACCTCGAGCTGAATATCAATGTCTCAACCCCGGACGGATACCTACTTGCTGTACCTTGATGATGAAGGATGCGAGCAATCACACTGAGACAGCCTGTGGAAGAACGTAACATAATATCAAGGACAGTCAGCTCTAGGTTCCTAATCTTGATGCCTACAAAGGAACAAACAATAATTACCTTAGCCCTGCCGTTCCCGTCAGAGGTGCCTGACAGCTGACATGTCGTGACAAACCAGCGCCAGCCGCCAGGGCAGGGAACATGCTGATGCGACTCTCGTGGAGAAAATTGGGGACGGGATTCCCGGTGCGTGGGTATTCTCCCAGGCGTCGGGAGTCGGGACAACTAAGACAAGGGATGGACTTAATCGTCGGTCTGCGACGATACCTTGCTGCGGGGAGTTGGGACCCAGAAATCTGGCAACCTCTGTTCATCTTTAGCGATGTCCTCTAACAGGAACTTCAGGGCTTCAGATGATGGCAGCCATCAGATGTCTGTGGTCAGGATCAGTCAAGGACTTGATGGAAGCGTCATGGGGCACAGCTTGTTTTCTCCGTAGAGGAACATGGCCACTATTGAGTTGGTATTGACGCCCAAGGATGATACCAACCATGGAACCTACCATGATGAGAAATGAGTGAGTACCTATGTCTCTGGATGCTAGCCCATCGAACCCTAAGAACCATTGAAAGGGGCCTAGTAAAGAAGCAGGCAAGCAAGGTAGGGCCGGGATTCGATTGAAGGGATGAGTCTCACTGGACCAAGGATCGTAATGCAGGACTTTTGGCGTAGGACTTTCTGACTTGAGTGGGCGGATACGGAGTACGAAGTACCTTGACGGTACATGATGTGCCCTCGACGCCGGGGAGGCTTCCGCACATGCAGCCCGCCGCCTGTGGGAGCTTGCCTGGTTGGTAGCTTCTCTCTCTCTCTCTCTCTCTCTCTCTCTCTGGGTCTTGACAACCTGGGAAGTCGGAGGGAGAGGGTTTAGAGTGGAAGTCGAAAAGTGTTGCCATCGCCTTTGTCTCTCTCTCATTTTCCCTTCGCGAGTCTGGTCTAGAAGTGCCCGTAAGTAAGGTAGATCAGATCAATCGCAAACCCATGGCTCTTTCCTTTGTCTTGGTAAACGTATCGGGGAAGGAACATGGGGGTTGGTGGTACCTACCTACGAAGTACCCTACCTAAGATACCCAAGGTACCTTAGGCAAGCACCAGGCGTTTCCCCTCTCTATCCTTCTTTCTCTCGTGCCTACCCCGCCAGATCAAGGCTTGAAGGTTGGTTGGGCCTGTCCTGCCGCTTTTCTCTTTGCCCGGGACGCCTTCCTTCGTCAGCACTCAAGAACCTCGGGTTCCTGCCCATTCTGCCATGGCTTTGTAAGACGACAGGAAGCAAGAACAACAAGATACCTCTTTCCCTTTCAATGTCTTGCCCTCAACCTTCCTGTCTCCTTATGGGAGCCTTCGATACCTTACATATGGCTGCGCAGCGAACTGAACATTCAGTTCCCGACGAGAAATCCATGCCCGAAAACCCCAAAGTAAGGTACATGAGCATCCTGCTTTAGTCCCACAGAATGCTGACGTACAAGGTGGGGCCAAGGGGTCCCTCATCCCCTTCTTCGCTCTCGTCTTTTAGCGGTCGTGTTACTCTGCTTCCCCCAGTCCAAACTCCAGACTCCAAACTCAAGAGCAGCCACCGTTAAAAGTCTCGAAGTGCTTACTTCAAGTGCTCGCCTGGTGTCAAAGAAGAAAGAAAGCATTGCTCGCGCCAAACATTTCCCGTCTCGAAAGCACCAGCTTTGGGACCAGCCAACGCCATAGCTGCACCTCCAATCCCATCCTCGTACGACTACGACATACCTACATCAAAAGTTGAACCCGAGGATGCCATCGACAGATACAGACAGATGAGGGAGACCTCTCTCGTCACGAACCATGCCTCGTACCGTATTAATGCTACGCGAGACAATCCTGTTCCCACAATACTGAATGGAAGCCAGCCGTCGCGAGGCGTAGCACAACAGCCATGCTAAGCCCCGTGGTCGTGTAATAGGCCAGACAGGGAGCACCCCTACTGCCGCCGTCCTCTGATCGGCCTCCGCAAGCTCAGCCGCAACGCTATTGAGGTTCATCAGCTTTTCCCGAGTCGGCGCCAAACTTGCGTCCTATCGAGTGGGCGGCATGCAAGTCTTGCCAGTCTCCAACCCCCCCGTCAATTGGGGCGTGAGCTGAGCACGGCTGAATGAGAGCCTCATCTTCTCAAGAATTCTCGAAAGTTTGAACTGGATCTCGGTGCCGTAGGAGCATACCCGGCGTTATGGTATGGTGTCCACTGCCCATCGCCCCAGCCTCCAACTGGTCTGATGGTTGGAGTTGTTTTGGTAGGTTGGTCATTACGGCACACCGATTCCCATCCCGGCATGCCGTCGCTCCGGTCGGGCTGTCAATGTCCCGGATCCTAGTTGCTGGTACGCTCTCATTGCGTCGTGTTTGTTCGTGCGGTGGACAATTGTTACGAGGGTCCCACGCGTCCTGGACACCGCCAACTCTTCTCCGCCTTGCCCACTGCGACCTAAGCTTCTCGAATCCGCGTAATTCCAATGGAAGCACTGCCCCCCAGCCCCGTCCGTTCGGTGGGCCCACGTTCCTCGGAGCAGTTTAAGGCTCCGGACTGGCTACGGCCAGGTCCGAGTAGCTTCTACCAGGAACATGGAAGAACATGGGCTGTATCTGTCGCGTGGACAGGCCCCAGTGTCGCTGTCGCCGTGACGCCGTGGGCCGGGATATGTCCACGTGCCCCGGAAGAGCGCCATAGGGTCCCTTCGGGGCTTCGGCCGTTGCTCCCGAACAAGTTGGGCCCGTGTCCAATCGCTTCCCCGCGAGTGGGAATACTGGAGACCTGTCGACTGAAACCCGAGCCGTTATGGCCGGCAGTATTCTGACATACCGGCGACCGGATGTCGGTGCAACGAGACATATAGGTATCAGACATGGTTTGGTGAAGGTTCAAATCCGATTTACGGCGAGTCTTTTGCATCCCTTGACACTGGTTCTTTCTCCTGTTTATTTCAATGCATCGTGTGGTCTCGCATACCTACTCACAATTGGGCTGAGTGGTGGTGAAATTGCCCTACGTGTTTTCGTTTGGCTCCGTGTAAGTGCGGAGGGGCATTCGAGGGAGGCCTTTCTCGCAGGTTTGCGTGCCGCTCCTCTCCCTTCCAGTCCCTTTCTAAGGTAGGCTCTAATACGCAAGACAACACGCCTCCTTCTCAAGTGCCAATGGAAAGGAATGTACAGGTACGATCAAGTATCTGCTGGTCACCTCAGTCTGTAGCTCCATGTTGGCAGCTGGGTGTGGCTAGTGCCCGCCATCATCACTTCCTTCCGTTCGAGCTCAGGCCGAAAAGTGGAGGAAGCTACGGCCGACCTCTCATTGGTCCCAGCTTTCTCCCTCCCGTCCCTCCACGCTGCATTTGTCTCCGCTGCTTTGGAACAACCGCGGTGGCAGCTGCATTTGGGTTAAACTCAGGATACCAGGCCAGCCAAACTCTATCGAGAAGGGGAATTAGGGGACCGCCAGATTGCACACACAAAATAGCAGTCGCGGCAGGTACAACTGTAGGGGATGCGTTACAGTTTCAATAGCGCAGCCAAGCCACTGAATCAGCATGGCGTCCCATGTTGACGAACCTGCCCTCTTTTTCATCCGTTTCCAGACAGGGTCGCCTCAGCCGTCGCAGCTGCCGACTGATGTTTTAGCAATTTTATCGGGATAACGCAGGTCCGTAGGTGCCGATGGGAGAGAAGGAACTAAGTGGCCCTTCCCATTCTTGTTACAATGTGATAGTCGTCCCTCGCCAACGATTCTCGGCCTTTGTCTCTTCTATCATTTCGGTCCGCTCCAGAGTCCTCCAATTATTGCCAAGCTGAGGCGCCACCGACCAAAGGGCAGCTGAGACACCACGAATGTCAGGATATCCCAAGATACGCGACGCCTGCTGATACTTGGCTCGTGGAATGCTGGTCTCCCGCGTCGACAGCCTTATTATACCAATCCAACGTCCCACAAAAACTACGAGCAAGACTACACCTTTCTACATCACTCGGAAAGTCACATTCGCGACGAAATGGCTTTCTACCAGATAAATCTGGCCGTTTTCGCGGCGGGCAACGGATACCTGCTCTATCAGCAGTACAAACGCCAGGGACAAGAGGTCATCGAGGAGCTGAAGCAGGAGGCGGCCGACTCGGAGGAGGGTTCCGATGGAGGAGATGTCGAGCATCAGCAATTGCTCTCCTCCCCTGGCGAATCTCAAAATGCCGTTCGCCAATTCCAGCTGGACTTCTTCCCGGTCTACGCTCTGGCGATGGCAGCGGATTGGCTCCAGGTAATGCGCCCTGCGACCGCTGCAATGGAATCAGACTGACGATGGAACAGGGTCCCCATATCTATGCCATCTACAGATACGAGAAGAACATCCCCGAGAAGGTCGTGGCTGCTCTGTATGCTGCAGGCTTCGTGTCCGGTGCCGTTTCTGCGTCCTTTGCTGGCGAGCTTGCAGATCGATATGGCCGCCGCCTTGCCTGCCTCACGTATTGCGCTACCTACATCCTCACCTGCCTGACGATGCTTACCGACAACCTATACATTCTGTTCCTCGGCCGATTCGCTGGTGGTGTTTCGACGACACTGCTGTACAGCGTGTTCGAGGCTTGGCTGATCACGGAGTATAACCAGCGTGGTCTTTCGCGGACGAACCTCAAGCTGGGCTCCATCTTCGGCAACATGACCACCATCAGCTCCATCGTTGCAATCCTGTCCGGCGTCATTGGTGACATCTTGGTCAATTCGCTGGGCGGCCGCGTCTGGCCTTTCATGGCAAGCGTGGTCTGCTCCGGGGCTGCCATGTGGTTGATCTTCAAGGGATGGGGCGAGAACTACGGAGCGAAGCAGAACGGTCAGGCAACGAGCTCACTAGCCGATGTCAAGAGCGGTATCCAGATGATTTTGGCCGATATGCGAATCCTGTCATTGGGCCTGACATCGACCTTCTTCGAGGGCGCCATGTACCTCTTTGTGTTCTTCTGGTCTGCTGCGCTGAAAAGCGCACGAACCAAGGCTGGCTCAGACGAGGAACTGCCGTTTGGACTCATCTTTTCCAGCTTCATGTGCGCCATGATGGCCGGATCTTCCTTCTTCTCGCTCTACACCACGACGCACTCCAAGGAGACGACATCATTTATTCTGATGCTAGTTGTGCTCGTGGTGAGTTGCTGCCTGTCTGGAGCAGTCGTATTGGACAACGAGAAGCTCTTGTTTTGGGCATTGTGCATGGTTGAGGCCAGCATTGGAGCCTACTTCCCAAGCATGTCGTTCCTGAAGAGTCAGGTTGTTGAGGATGGTGTTCGTGGTCGCGTGTACAGCCTGCTGAGGCTACCCCTCAACGTATTTGTTGTCGTGGCGCATAGTTTGGATGAAGAAGGTAAGTTGCTGGGACACGTCCAAGTATCAAGGTCGCTGCTAATGAAGAAACAGGTGACGGACACCGAAACGCCGTCTTCATGACTTGCGCCGCGCTTCTCATGATGTCTTTCTTCATTGTCAAGAGGAACTTTGCCCAGGGTTAGGTCTGGATGGATGTTGATGATTAACACGATATCTCATGCGCAGAGTAAGTTCACGTAATAAGAACGAAGTGGAAAGTTTGACAAGCAAGGAAGTATCACGGGATCAAAGATGCAGCTCCGAAGTTGGTCAGCGATGAGGAAAGCAGATGATACATGGTCGGAACTACTGCTAAATACAGTATGGTACATAGACTGGAAATTTCTGGAAGTTAAACAAAAAGAAGACAAAGTGTCCTGTCATATCTAGGCTATGGTTCGTGTTCGAGGCTACCCTAGCTAAAGGGGATATTGAGTGCTGGGTAATTTGTGATAGCCGCCAACCAAATGCTGGGGAGCGACGTCGTGGGGGAGACTACCCGGGAAAGACCTCCCATCGCTGCCCGTTGCCATTTGGAGGCAGGGGCGGCCCCGTTCACGGCTGGGGGTTCCGTTTCATCAGCTCCCCAGCTTCCTTCCCCTTTTGGGAGAGCCGTTCCTGCAGTCCAAGAGTCCAAATACTTAATGTAGGGAAGGTTCGTGACTTCCTCCACGATCCATGGAACATCGTGTGCTTTGTTTCTGGCCTTGTTTCCCAGCCTTTTCCCTCTTTTCAAACCTCGTCCAAGAAGTCAGGTTATCGGCACCTGGCCATCCTGAAGACGGCCAAGCGCCATCTCTCTTCCCCTCCCGTGGCCGGCTCTCATTCGCAGCAAGACCGCTTGAAGATCCTCTTCTCTCCAACGATCCAGATTCTACTTTAGACAAGCACCCCGGCCCTGCAGCTCACACCGCACAGTTGGGCGGGACCCTGCAACGGTTCGATAGCGATCTGAGTGGTCAACCCAAAATCTCAATCCGGCGCACCCCCTCCTCCAATCCAATCCCAGGAGAGTTTCTTATGCGACTGAAGCGCTCGAGAAGGAGAACCCGCCTCGGCTGACGAGAAAGAGACGTGGGGAGAGAGAGAATCAGGGAGGAGGGGACCAAGAGAAGGATCGACTTGCGCGCCAACCTCCTCTTTGCTCTTTGTCTTCTAGTCTTGTCTCGACTTGACCTGAACTTGACCCGTCGCCTCTTCGTTTGATTGTTTTGTCTCCTCCTGAAACCACCAACTTCTGAAGACCTGGTCGTCTTATTTCGCCTTCAATTTGTTCCACGTCGACCATAAGTAGTGCCTGCGGCGACGACACGTTGCGCGACAGTCGACGCTAGCAAATCAGAATAACGGCGCTCGATCTTCACACTCTGATCAGAATTACACACTACCTACCTACCTATCCGCACCACCACCACCACGGCTGCTACCAATCATCATTTCCAGAACGAAAACCGGGAAGCTGGTCGTTACACCAGGAAACACTCTCACACGCCTCGTTATCAAGATTGCTTCTGCACTTTGACGTGCCTCCCAACCTGTAAAAGGGCTAGACCGCTGCATCTTGGGCAACTGCGTCACCTCACGCTACGGCGTCTGCCAACTTCCTTCAGACAAGACCAGCTAGGAAGGCCGAATTCGTTGCGGTCGCATGACATACAACTGCAGACACTAGCTAAGGAAGCAGCTGCGAAAAAAAGAGAACAGAGACCGAGCGACGTTTGTTTGGCACATGAAGTGCGAGAGCTAGAGAAGAAGCAGCCGCAAGCCGAGGAGCCCAGTTTATTAATACCAAGTCAAGCCACCAACAATCCGAGTCGAACACCACCAAGACGCACCAGGGAATCTCCCGACCGACTCAGATTTGAGACCCCAAAGATCCGGGAACCCAGACCCAGGACCCAGGACCCAGCAGCTCAGCTCAGATTCAGAACCGAGGGACCCTGATCATCGGTCTGAGGTGACGACCGCACGACTATCACGAGCAATTGAACGAGACAAAGCGTTTACGATTTCCTCACGAGGCCAGAAAGGACTCTTCCAGAGCCTTGCCCTCTCCGTACTTTTCCTTCTCCAGTACTCCGTACTCCTCTTCATCCCATAATTCCACAATTATCATCTTTTGATTTTATTCCCCGCTAGCCCCCGCCGCCTGGCGCAACCCACGAATCCACGAGAAAACGGCACACGAGGACATCAGAATTTGGCGCAAACCCTGCAGGCGTCTTCCCACCTTTTGCGAGAATCCAGTCCAGGACTCCAGGTACGCCAGGGATCCCCATATATGACCTCATTGGGGCACCAGGCCTGGGTCCTCTTCGTCTATCCGCAGCGTCACACCCGGGAAACTAATTACAGACGGGCCGTTTAAACGTGTGCTGTCTCCTCCAAAGGGCCGAGAGGGAGAAATTCGGCGCCAAAAGTTACCACCACCGGTCGCGGCTCGCCGCTGTTATTCCGCACCTCAACGCCGTGCACCTTTTCGCAGGCTGCACTTGCACTTGCACGCACCAAGGTGAACCCGGTCGCTTCACCGGAGCCAGATCCCGTCCCGGGCAACCTCACTTTTGTCTGGGTCTCGTAGAAGAGAGAATCGAGGACTCCCCTGGCCGTCCTTCCGTCTAGGAGTGCGCATACCATCACCTTGTCTCAGCAAAACGCTGGTGTTTTTGCAGCGAGGTGCAGCATCGCGCCCGCAGCGAGAACCCGTGCGTTTTCAACCTGTCAAACACCGGCACATTGTCGGGCTACGTCCGGAGGCGAGGCGCCGATTGGCGCGCGGGTAGTCTTGGTGTCGATTATCAAGACGTCAAAGACCAGCAGCGGCACGGTCAAGGACAAGCCGGGGAAGAAAGTGTCGCCAGCCAGAAAAACATCTCGGCCATGGCTGTATCAGACGAGGCATTTGACGACGATTCCCAGGGTATAAGCAGTAATTGGGTGGCGTTGAGGCATGGCGGTGGTGTCGATGGCGGCAACGTCGAAACTAACAACAGCGAGACCAACAAAAGCGGTGGTCACGTCAAAGGCCACGGACCAAGACACCGGAGAAGGAGGAGCAGCTTCCTGGTCTCCCATGGGGTCTCCTCATTTTGGTACGGCCTTTGCTCGGTGGTGTTTTTAGCACTCGTCCTAGTAAGTACCTCTGCAGCAGTGCAGATTCTCCTTTCTTCCCTCCTGTCGGTCAATTTCATCAGACAAACCTATCACAGCACCCTGAATCCCAGAATGCCAATCCATATTGCCCTGAATCCACACATACTTTTCTCAACGTCCCCGCCCCCTTGTTTTCTCCCCGGCGACGGCGTGGTGCTAGTTGCATGCGCTCATTTTCTGTTTTATTTTTTTTCTACTGCGTACCTATGTGTTTTACCAAAGTCTCTCCATTTCCGGCATGTTCGGTGGCCCGCCCGGGTGTGGACGATTATGGATGGAGCCGGGAGCTTCTTCGGCGTAGAAGTGGGCCACCGTGGGACCGGGGGGTTTGATAGTGTCGCCTGTCAGAGTCCCTGCGAGTGCAGTGGTGGTGAGCCGCCGTGAGCGTCAGTCGCGCGCGTGGTGGCCTGGCCGCCGGGGGGGGGGGGGGGCTTTGGGCTTTGGGGCGTGGTTGTCTGAGTATCCCATGTCCCAAACTTGGGGGAGTTTGTCCCCCGGGGCATCATGCGGACTTCCACGGGGGCCCAGGTTTTGGGGAATCTGCTTGTCGGGGAGGGAACATGGCATGGCCCATGTGGGCAGCATGCAGACGACTTGCGCCGGGAGAAGCGCCGGAAACTGGGAGTGAATCTTCACCACGGATGACGGACGAAAAGCGGTTGGCCGTCTGCCGTAATGTTCGAACTTCGCACAGTTGCAGCAGACCAGGCCAGAAAGAACAGCAGTGAGCAGGGAACTCGGTGGGCGACAAGCGAGAAAATCGAGCGAGCGAGCGAGCAACACGAGAGATGAGATTGAGAGGCATCGATGATCGGGATCTCGCCGGAACCAATTGGGGCCAACGGCGGGACCGAACTTCATCCCAAGATCCAATGACAGGCGAACAGAGCTGCTTTCGGCTCCCGAGCTTTTGCCAGCAGAGCAGGGCCAAGGCCAAGGAACTGGACGGACGGGCATACCTCACCTCACCGGACTCTGCCGCCGCCGCCTGCAATTGCAATGGAAGCCTCAGGCCTTTGGTACCTTGTCGTCGTCATGCCAAATTCTAGGTGGTCTCTCTCGCTGAATTATCCGTACGAGGTACACACTGGAGTCCTGGAGGCGTATGGAGACTTACGGATACCTTACGAAGTACATTGGGCGGACGATTCCCCGCAGCACCTTAGTCAACACCCCCCCCCCCCCCCCCAGGTCCCAGCTGGTTCCAAGGTTCAGTTCCAGTTCCAGCTTTCCGCGGCCACACATCTCGCCTCACATCACGCAGCTGTAGCAGCCCAGGCCATCCATTCAGCATGCTGGCTGGGTCTACTGTGTATGTAAGCTGCTGCAGAAGACCCTACCTCTTCTCGTCACGCAGCTTGGTGCTCCGTGCGGCCCGACATCTGGAAGGGGAAAAAAGGTCTCGAGACCTGAAGACTTGACAGACGTGGTGGATGTGACCCAATGGCATTTGCATCCCACATGCATACCTGGGGAATCATCAACTGCTGAGAGTTAGTCAACGACAACTGCAGTAGCAGGGTCCTAGACAGGAATCCCTCTGCATGTAGCTCTGCAGCTCTGCTTTTCCTGGTCGTCGTTCGTCCCTGTTCCGTTTCCTTGGCCTCGGCTTCGCTGTTCTGGGCGACGTCTGTCATAATGGCCAAAATCCCCCCCCAATTGTCGTGTTTCCCAAGGTGGAAGACAGGAGTCTTGGAGTCTTGGAGTCTTGGAGCTGGCAAAAATCAATCGTGTCTAGTAGCACGAAGGCAGGCCACCTCAGTCACCCCACCACGACATTACCTCACTGCTCTGGTGGTTGCTGACAAGGTACCGACGGGAGTACATAGCAATGCCTGTCGCGGCGTCGCCCTGTTCCATGGGACCAGCACCCAGCACCCAGCACCCAGCAGCCCAGAGTCCAAGACTCCAGTGCCCAGTGCTCCACATCTGCTCCATGCTCCATGTTCGCTCCCATGCCAATTGAACCCCATCCCCCGGTCCATCCCATTGCGATTTCGTCACATACATCATTCGAAGAGCTCCCCAAAAACTTCCTCATCCTCGCTCTGTCCGACCTTCTTCTCCCATTGTCCCATACCCTCTTCCTCATCCTACCTTAACCTGGCTTTGCCTCGTTCCAAATCCCAAGTTCAAACTTTTTTCCCTCCTCACATCTATATCCCCTCTTAGTTGGAGAATCACTTTGTCCTCCTCTTACGACGAAGCTTACCTTGTACTAATTCGTACTCTCACCAAAAACAGCTCACGCAGCTCCTCCTCCGAGACGCCAAGCTCCTTCCGCCGCACCTCCAACTGCAGCTTCGGTCCTACTTCTCCCCCTCTCACAACTTCTTCTACCCGCCTCCTCCCTTCTACTCTCCTTCGGCTCAAATCTTCCAGGAGCCCGTCTGCGAAAATCCAGCGCCTTTTCCAACCACGCCTCCAATCTCCATACCTCTCACAATGGCGCTCGAAGCAGAGACAAAACGCGTCGTCGACCAGTTCGAACTGTCCGATGCATACCTCAACCGCGCCGTCAGCGAATTCCTTGGCCAAATGCGTCAGTTTGCCCCGTTTCCCTCACGCTCTCGTCTTTTGCAAGTATTCGCCTGCGGGGATTGCTACTGCACTATCACTGCCATCCATAACTGTGCGCGAACAATAATCCTGCGCGGCAATACTCAGCTGCTGGAGCTGGGCAGCTTTTACACTATGAAAATTGAGCTGATTTTAGCATCTCACAGAAACTGGCCTGGAAAAGGATGGATCCAGCATGAGCCAGATTCCGACCTACGTCACTGGCGTGCCCAATGGCACCGAAAAGGTAAATTGCGCAGCAACGCAGCTTTGCAATTCGCAAAACCCATCTTGCGGGATTCCACTCACTGACACCTGTTGCAGGGCCTGTACCTCGCCGTCGACCTTGGCGGCACCAACTTCCGCGTGTGCTCCGTCCAGCTCAACGGTGACACCACCTTCAACCTCACATACAGCAAGGTCGCGATCCCCAAGGAGCTCATGGTCGCCAAGACCGCCGAGGAACTCTTCTCCTTCCTCGCCAAGCAGATTGAGCTCTTCCTCCGCGAACACCACGCCGAGCACTTCGAGCAGCATGTTCGCCGCCGCCAAACCTACAGCGCCCCCGAGGGCTACCGCGACGAGCACGTCTTCCGCCTGGGCTTCACCTTCAGCTTCCCCGTTCAGCAGCTTGGCATTAACAAGGGCAACCTGATCCGGTGGACCAAGGGCTTCGATATTCCCGATGCCGTCGGCAAGGATGTCTGCGCTCTGCTGCAAGTCGAGATCGACAAGCTGCACCTCCCCGTCCGGGTTGCTGCTCTCGTCAACGACACCGTCGGAACCCTGATGGCGAGATCCTACACCTCCACCGGCAAGTCCGGCTCCATCTTGGGTGCCATTTTCGGTACTGGCACCAACGGCGCTTACCTCGAGAAGCTGTCCAACATCAAGAAGCCCATTGTCGGCGACTTCGAGTCTGCTACTGGCGAGATGGTTGTCAACACCGAGTGGGGTTCCTTCGACAACCAGCTCAACGTGCTGCCCAACACCCCTTGGGACGATGCCCTCGACAAGGCCAGTGTCAACCCCGGTATTCAGATGTTCGAGAAGCGTGTCTCTGGCATGTTCTTGGGCGAGATCGTCCGCCTGACCATCCTTGACATGCTCAAGGACGAGAAGCTTTCCCTGTTTAAGGACCAGAACTCTAGCTTCAACGACTGGAAGTCAACAACAAGCATCGGCGCGCAGTCTGGCATGTTCAAGCAGTGGGGCCTGGACAGCTCCATCATGTCCGTTGCCGCTGCCGACAACACCCCCGAGCTCTCAACCCTGAGACAGCAGCTGGAGACCGAGATGCAGGTGTACAGCCCCTCCCTCGAGGACGCCCAGGCCTTCAAGGCCGTTGCCGGCTCCGTCGGCCGCCGCGCAGCTCGTCTGTCAGCTGTTGCCATTGGTGCCATTGTCCTCCAGTCCGGCAAACTCGACGACGAGACGGAGGAGGTCATTGACGTTGGTGTCGATGGCAGCTTGGTTGAACACTACCCCTTCTTCCGGGACATGATCTACGAGGCTCTCCGCTCCATTGAGAGCATCGGCCCCAAGGGTGCTGACAAGATCCGCATTGGCATCGCTAAGGACGGAAGTGGAGTCGGCGCCGCCCTCATTGCCCTTGTGGCAGCTGGCATGGAGAAGGAGGGTGACGTCTTGATGGAGTTTAGACAGAATGTCAAGAAGGAACTCGACTCCATCCCCGAACAACGTAAGTTGCTAGTCGCTGGAATTGCCGAGACAAAGGGCGACTTCGAGCGTGACGAACTTCCCGCTGCCGTGCATTGCGAGACTGTTGGCTAATCACATTTTGCGCCGTCTCACAGGCGAAGAGGTATCGACAACCAACACCGCATTGATAATCGGAGGCCTCGTTGGCGTTGCAGCCATTGCGGCCGTCTGGTGGTCTCGGTACAACCGTCAATGATGAACGAAGTATGAAGAGAGATGATTGAATGGGGGGGGGGCACTGAGGAATGGGAAAGGGTGGAAGTGTCATTTGGGACAACAGACAACGAAGAGGGAGAAAACCCTCCCTCTTCTCTCGTCTGTTGTCCCCATCCGTGTGAGCATCTTGTTTTTGGCATTGGGGAATCGTTTCATTTCTTCATGATTCCACACACAAAGGGGAAAATACCGGAGTTGGGCCTGATCAAAGCAAAAAAAAACTTGCGTGGGACGGTTTTTGTTCAAATGCGTAATTGTTTAAATACTATGTCTTTTCTTCTTCTATAAACAAAGTTCATAACGTATATAGCTGGCTAGCCTCTACTTTGGGGGCGAATCTTTTTTAGCATCTTGTATGTCTTTTTTTTCGGGGGGTTTTTTCGCATTCTGTGATGTCGACGGTGAGTGTGAATGGCCTCATCCTCTACTCAGGATGCCTCGCGATTTGACATGAAGCCGTCTCCTACCTGTCCTGGAGGCCAACGGAGAACTCCTGAGGATTCAGGTTTGCATGTGATTGCAACTCTGTACCTTGTCGTATACCTGGAAACCTCTCTCAATATGGGACTTTTCAGTTCTCTTGAATCCGAATATCTTGGACTTCCTCATCCTTGACACAATAGAAGTATAGGATTCCCTCTTAAGCCTAGCCCTGAAACGCAGCAGCCGGGTAGGACCTGTCCTTCTTTTTCCTCACCGTCGAGCTGCTCCTGGAACTCGCGCCCGAGCCGCCATTGCTTTTGGGAGGGGCAAGCTTGGCCGAGGCCATCTCGTCGGGTAGGTCGTTCCACTCTGTCGCGGCGCGGCGATTCTGGAAAGATGTGCCCGATCTCGACAGCGGTGGAGGGGGGCCGCCGCTACTGCTTCCGTTCATGGGTGGCAGGTTCGCGACGGCGGCGGTGGGACCCGGAGTCGGAGGTGCGGTGGCTCTCTCGGACGAGGATGAAGACAACGATTGTTGCTGCCCGCCGATGGACAGAGGCCCGACGGCGCGGCGGACGATCCAAGCCGAGTCCGGGCGGAGCTTGATGTAGTACCCCTGCAGCGGCTCGCCGTAGCGCTCGAAACCTCTGGCGGCGTACCAGCGCATGCCCTCCTCGTTGTCGGTCCAGACGTGTGCGTAGATGTGGCGGAGGTTGACGTCGGGTGAGGAGTTGGCGGCGGCGGCGACGAGGTGGTCTACCACGGCGGTGGCGAGGCCATGGGAGCGGTAGGGCGAGAGGAGGGCGAGAGACTGGATGTAGAGGGCGTGCTCGAGGCGGGTCGGCGTCGGGGTCGCAGAGGGAAAGGGGGAGGGTTCGATGCGGGCTACGACGCCGCCGACGACGATTTCCTGGGAGAAGTTTGTCGTGGGTTGGTCGCGCCAGGTGACAACGCGGGAGAAGGGGCCCGTGAGAGCTGCGGCGTAAAAGGTTTCTGGGTAGGCTACTGGGAGGAGGAGGGAGTTTATGCGGCGGAGAGGTTGCAGGTCTTGGTCTGAGACGGGGTGGATCGCGGCACTTGGGTTAAGGGGCGTCGAGGCTGGCGGTTGTGATGTTTGCGGCGTCGTTGCTGGGGGCGATATTCTCGGTGGTGATATCGTTGTAGTCGTCGTTGTCACTGAGGATTTCGGAGGGGGGGGAGGAGTTGATGTTGACGATGGTGGGGGTTTGGTCGTAGGAGGGGCAGCTGCAGCTGTTCCTGTCAATAACGGCGCGGGGGCGTACTTTGACGATGGGGGCGGCGGAGCATAGGAGGGTTGCTGGCGGGGTTGGAAGAAGGATTTGATGGAGGATTGGGTCGGCGGTTGCTTCATTGTTGTAGTCTGGGGGAGAGACATGCTATTGTTGGGCGGAGCGAAGGGTCGTTCGTTTGCTGGCTTGTGAATGAGGGAAATGTACGGAGTACGAAGTATTCGTAGTTGAGTCGACGAGGGAGGATGACGGGAAAAGAAAGTGTGGAGAAGCGAGCTGGCAGGGTAGCTAGGTAGGCCGAGGTGGAGGGATGTTACTCTAAGAAATAATTCCCGAGCGGATGAAAGTTTAGATGCGCGTGCGTGCGCGTAGGCGTAGGCATTTACACGCGTGCAGTGAGGTGTTTGGTCTTGGGAACGTGATGTTGTCTTCTTTTTCGATAATCCGGTGACTGAATGCAGGGAAAGGGGAACAGGCGAGTTGGGAAAGAGGTTTCGGAAGCACTGTCTCTGAATGGTTGCGACTTTTTTTTTTTCTTCTTCTCGGGATGCAGGGCAGGTGAACGGTTCCTTGCAGCGAGACGGAAGGTGGTGCAAGTCGTGACTCGCTTTAGGTTTGGTGGCTCCTTCTCCCTGGGGCTGTCTCTGGAAGAGGGAGACGCGGAGGCAGGCACAACCTCTGAGGCTCAGACGGGCAGGTGCGTTCGGGCAGCACCGATGCGGTCAGACGCGGCTCTGGAGGCTCCGGCGGGAGAGCGACGGCTCCACCGGCTCGTCCCAGGAGCAATGGCAGGGTGACGAATGTCAGAGGCGGTGCTGCTGCTAATGATATCCGTACATGTACCTCGGGTTGCTTTCCATTATATAAAGAGACCACCTGTGGACTACCTAGACCAACTAGAGGGGCTGGTGGGAGTGGTAGTGGTAGAACTACTGCATCAACTATGGAAGGGTAGTGAGGCGTCCCAAGATTGGTAGATGGCCAAACTCTATGAACGAATCATGAAGCAATGGCGAACCCCTGGTAAACCGACGTCTTGACTCGACAGTGACGATTTCTGCAGTGTGCTTGCCAGGGTGTTATCTTGGACAGAGGGAGTGTGTCGGCGAAAGAAAAACACGAGACGCAAGGCAGTAAAAAGTATCGTGAAGTGAGGTGAAGTGAACACCAGTAGCTGAGCCCATCCCTTCGACTTCCGCTCCAGAGTGCCAGGTGGATGACAGGATCACCTGCCGCTCAACCCTTCCTGAGTTTCTTGCTGTTGCTATCGGTACCATTACCACAACCGTTACCTATACTTCTCTTATTCCCTCTATCACTACCTCTATGATACTAATTACTGCTCTTTCCAATTAGTTATCTAGGCATGTTCTCTTAATGGTATACTTAGAGTATCCTAGTTAGATACCTGGTGATAAGAAGGATAGAAGTGATGAGGATAATAGTTGTTGGCCGGTATCTTGTCACTTGGACCCCTGTGCACCTTGGCCATGGTACCTAGGCGAAAAGAGGACTAAAGTCAGGCACATGCATGCGCCGATGGGGACACTGTATCCGCTCCGTGGTTTTCTATGACGGGATCCTTGGATGCGATGGGATGACATCCAAACCCCGTCTCCCTGCTCGAACTTCTGCGAGTGTGTTCGGCAGCGTGGATGTAACTGCAAGTGCATTGATGCATTGTCATTTCGTTGCTCTTTACAAAAACTCTTGGGTTCTGCATAGGATCGTGGGATGGACTCAAAGTCTGGGGAATGTACTGCACTCACTTCGGTTATGTCTTCAACCACTTGATGACGTCTCTTTTGATTCTACTTCGATCTCGGAAGGACGATAACTTGATCTAAATAAGTCGGCTACTGTAATCCACTTCATTGGAAAGTGTCTTTTGTCTTTGCCTGAGGAAAGGCAAGGAAGGTACTCAGATATAGGTAGCCAGTCCATTGAGTTCCTGCTCCATTTGCAAGTGGTCGTGAGTGGCCCGCAGATCGACGTTGACACTTTTGGGAAGTTGCTTCCGGGCTTCTTACTAAAGTCGCTCTTTCCCGCAATTCCCCTTGCCAAAGATGCCTGAGCAATCTGCTAAGGTAATCCGGAAAACCCTCCCAATTCGCATTCTCTCTTCCTCTCCAATCCCCCATCATCAACCACCTCGCCTTCCAACAGTCTGAGGTTCCTTACCCGGTGGACTTCACCCCGAGCAATTGTCTCCCTGTCAACTCAGACGTCAAACCCAACTCCTTTCTCCGGCCCGTCAACCAACACCGCCGACGTTGGCCGCGACCATCGGATTTCTCTCGCCTCGCACCTTCAACCCCCCCGTCCTATCCAGATTCGGCATAGGGCCTCTCGCGTGGTACGACAAAGGGAAAGTCGACCCCCTAGCTTATCGGAGACAACCTACCTACACCTTAACCGCAAATCCTTGTGTCCGTTGCTTGTTCGCCATCGCTGTTGCACCCTTATTACTTCAGCAAAGCAAGGTTGCGCAACTTTTTTTTTTTTCATACCCTTCCCTGGCGGCGGCGTCGATCGGTCGTTTCTTCCATTTGCTCAGCTTGACCTCATCTCCCCTGCACCTGCCGCTATTACCTACTGCGACTGCACCCACTGCTCAGTTGCTGCGGCTGCTGAACCACCACTTCACCCGCCCCTCGACCGGCCGTGTGGCACCTTATTTTAGTTACCCGTCAACCCGATTCAGATTCCACAAACCATATTTCTTCCTGCACACGACCACAAAGCTATCCGCCCTCCGAGGCTGCGATCACGACGGCATCTTACTCCCTTCAGCCTCTGTGCGCCGTTCCGTCGGCCTCGTCGAGATGGCTTCCAATACTGGAAAAGCTGGAGTGATTGTCGCTCCCGACGACGCTGGCAACATGGTCAAGCTTGTAAGTCCTCCTCCATCCCCTGCCATCAACCTTCCTTCCCCTTCTGCCTTCCCTTCCTTCCCGAGTCTCAGTCAACCCATCGCCGCCTTTCTACGAATCGCTGCGGGTGGACTGGGCAACTATTTGCCGTGGCTGATGACTTGACGTGATGCTGACCATAGTCTATTATTCGGCAACAGGCACACGCTGTCCTCGACGACCTCATGTACAACATTGTCCATGACCTGCTGCTCAAAGTCCATCGCGACGAGAAAATGGCGAGAGCGTCCACCGCTGCCATTCGTGTCGAGAAGCTGGCTTCCGATGCATCAGAGAGCTCCACCCCCGATTCGAAGCCAGACGTGCGGATAGAAACCGAAGCCGCGATATACGAAGACGGCAAGGTTCTGCTCAAGGGCAACCCCCTCAAGACCACATCCGAGATCCTGTGCCCCCGATGCCACCTGCCTCGCCTGCTCTACCCGACCGATGGCAAAGGCGCGCGAAAGCCCGATCCAAGTGTCATCTACTGCAAGAAACACCCCTACATTGACAAGCCGGGCTACGACATTTACGGACAGACCTGGGTTCAGCCTGGTCCCGGTCGAGGCAAGAAGAAGAAGGACATGAAGCCCGATCCCAATATCGAGTCAGCTGGGCCCGGAGAAGGGCGGCCAGCCAACGTGCTCTCGTTCCCCTCCGCCACCTGCAGCAAGTGCAAACGATGCATTCTTGTCACCCGTCTCAACAACCATATGGGCTCCTGCATTGGAAATAGCGGACGCAATGCCAGTCGCGCTGCAGCGGCAAAGATATCAAATGGCAGCAACGGCGCTAGCCAGCACGACGGAACGCCCCCATCGAGCCAGAAGGCCACACCCGCGCCTGCATCGCGGGCCTCAAGCCCTAAGAAGCGCGACAGCGAGGAGGTGGCGGCACCTGAGGACGAGGACGAATCAGGAGACAGCCATAAGAAGAAGAAACTGAAGTCCACACCCTTGATGACAAAGAAGGTCATCCTTAAAACGAAAGGCCCTAAGAAGGAAAAGGTGAAGACGAACTCACTCTTGAGCCGTGAGGCAAAGGCGGACGATGGCGACAACTCTACTGTCGAGGTCGCGCCAAAGAAGGAGAAGAAGGAGGCCAAGGGCATTAGTCCGGCCAAAAAGCTGAAGCTTGGCGCCGCCAAGCCGCCCTTGTCCTCACCGTTATCCAAGAATGGCCGGAATGGAAAAGAGAAGGATGAAGACGCAGAGTCAGAATCGTCCGGCACATTGTCGTCGCCGCCAAACTAGAAGCCTGGCAGCACGACGAGCGGCACGACGAGCGGCAAAATGAGGAGCGCAATGACCAGCATCAAAAGATCGACTGGCTGCGGTCTTAGGAGACCAAGCGAGTTGTTGGCTATGAAGGGCACATCGCCGCCTTCGACAGTCAAACGCTCACCCCCGCAGCCGCAGTCGCAGCCGACTAGACAGCGACTGGCTTCTGTCTCGAGCACTTCTTCCGGCCAAAGCAGCTCCTGTGGTCGTTCTGCTGCAAAGCCAAATTCGCCGGGATCTTCCCAAGACACAGTTTGCTCCACGGGACGAGTCTCAAAGCCCCAAACCACTAGAGGTCAAGCGCCTCCAACTGGCGGCAAAATGCCCGCCAAAAGCCAATCTGCCGTCGAGACCCAGCCGCCAGTTCGAGGCCAAAAGAGAGCCTCGGCCGAGCGTGAGAAACAATCCGCCAAACGGCGTCGTTCTTAATATCGCTCCTTTGTATTCATTACCACCCATTTTTCTTTCAATGCCCCGGGCCCGGCTTCAGATATCAGCCGGGATGGGCATATCTTACTTCTCTGGGTCGCATTTTACGACGAAAGAATAGGTCGTGGGACTGGCCGCAGAGCCGGGTCCCTAGCCGTCTTCTTCTTTCACTTTGTACTCATAAAAAAACTGGAGCCCTGGTCGACGAGAGATCGGCACTCGATACACGATACTCAACAATGCATGGTCAGGGAGTCAGTCGGGGAAGGTCTTCTAGGAATGAGGTTTCCTCCCTCCATATTCGTGTGCATCGCCTGGCGAGGCGGATGGCGGCGTTTAGAGATTACGGTTACATTTTACAGGCATTGTGACAAATGATATTGATTCCCCCCATCACTTTAATGTTTGTGATCTCTCATTCTATTTTTGGTTTACCACCAAAGGCCGCCACGTGGAAGGGTAGGCGGGAAGAACTGGATATACCTTTTCCCCAGTGTACGGTCTGCTCGACCAAACGCCAAACTCCGCGTAGATGCTGACAATATGACCCTCTAACAGTAGGACCTCGCCATCCCTCATGCTTCATCGCCGCCCTCCTCAACGACAGAAGCCTTGATAATCTTGACCTCCTCAAGCGGCCGATCCTCCGGCCCCGTCTTGACAAGTCCCATCCTCTTGACAACGCTCAATCCACTCTTGACCCGTCCAAAGATGGTATGTTTCCCATCAAGCCAAGGTGTCGGTGCCAGGGTAATAAAGAACTGGGAGCCGTTCGTGTCTGGGCCAGCGTTGGCCATGGAGAGGATGCCGGCGCCGGTGTGTTTTAAGCCGGCGTGGATCTCGTCTGCGAATTTCTCGCCGTAGATTGAGGTGCCGCCGCGGCCTGTGCCCGTCGGGTCGCCGGCTTGGATCATGAAGTTTGGGATGATGCGGTGGATTACGGTGCTGTTGTAGTAGCCTCTCTTTGCGAGAGTTGCGAAATTCGTGCAGGTTTTGGGGGCGTGGGTTGTGTAGAGTTCTAAGATTATCGTGCCCTATTCAGGGGGAGGTGGGAGTTAGTCTTTGTTTTTCTGGTTTGGATTGGTTTGGTTTGTCGCATGGATTCATGTTGATGTATGGATTGTGGGAAGGGTGGACTGGAGAATGTATGGACATACCAATGAGGTCTCGAGGGAGACGTTAGTTGTCATTTTGGAGGAATTGGCAAGCTTTGCTGGCTGCGCGGGGTATCGCAGAGTGTGGTGTTACTGTGGTGGTAGAGGGTTTCACGAAGAAGTATTTTGGGGCGAGGCTGGCGATGCGATGCGATAGAGGATAGAGGTTTTGCGGTAGCACGTCAGGTCCAAGTCGCGGATCGCGCCCGATTGCGGGTTGCCCGCGCTTTCGATTGAGCCTGTGGTGGGTGGTCAGGGGGTAGCGTCAGCCACTTCCGGGGCGAAGGTGCGCCACTGGAGGCCCAGGTCTCTAAAGGTACAGAGGCCAAAAAAATGAGCTGTCTGTGGCATTATGTAGGACCACCAAATTCGAACTCGCAACCTTTGCAGGACCCAATTACGCTTAATTACTTCCACCACTAGGTCATATACACTTCATACGCTGCTCATGTCTTTGATTCAACGACTTCCATCCTATAGAGGTTGGGGTGGAGTGGTTGTGGTTTATTCGTATATGTTTATTCCACGATGGACATTCAAGTTGAGGTGGTACCTTACCGATGGATTATAGCGCTGAGGTGCCCCCCCCCCATCTCTCCCCGCACGCCCTGCAAACCTCCTGCAGCAAACGCTCACGCCGCACGGATATCGATACCGCCTTTCAAGAGTTTGGACACGGGGAAGGTGCGACTTCTCTCTCGAGCAGGATAAACGAAAAAAAAGGGTGGATTTTATTTCCATAGGACGTCCGGTCCGGTCGTCACCTTTCATCTTCAACCAAAGGAAAACTCACTATCCTACCTCCAAAATCCTACGACCTAAAGCAAGACCTAGCCAGGGCAGAGACCGTTTCTTAAAATTGACTTCTCACTTTTTTTGTTTCTTTTGGGCAGCGCAGCGCAGGAAACACCGTGTCGTCTTTCATCTTCATCGACCGGTCCGACCCCATCTCCAAAACAGGTGGCTTCAATTCTTCTCTTTAACCAGTTGGTGAGGATCACTTTACTCATGGCAAGAGTGACATTTCTCTAATTTCTTCTACAGCATTCGACTGCCAGTGGTTCTTTCCAAGGGTATAAACGACGGGCACCCAGCTTCTCTACCTGCCACTCACTACGGCCATTGTCTCATTTATTCAGACTCAGCTTCCGTTTCTTCATCTGGATAACTACCACGAGCTTCACTTGCCGCGGACGACTGTCCTCATCTCCAACCTTGGGCCGATTGTTCATCTTAGCACTTGGGAACGACAGCGACACTGCCAGCAATAGCAACAGCGGCAACATGGCTTCGCCGGTCCCCAGCCCCATCAACCCTCCGTTTGATGAGCTTACCCAGAACCTCACCGGCAACCTCACCGGCAACTCGACAGTCGGAAATGTCACCGCTGCTGCCGTGGAATGGGGCTTCACCCAGTATGCCAGCTTCTTGACGATGGAGGCTAAGCTCATCTTCAGCGCCCTGGCCATCATCTACATCGGCGCCCACGGCTCACTCCGCCGCCCGCCTTCCGCTGCTCCTCAGAAGCGCAAGGATGGACGGGAACGCAAGGAGGATGAGCCTATAACGGAGGGTCTCATGCCTACCGACGCCATTCTCTTCCCTCTCCTGGCCGGCACCATGCTCATCGGCCTCTACTACCTCATTCAGTGGCTCCAGGACCCCGCCATCCTCAACAAGATTCTCCGAGTCTACATGTCCGTAATGGGTATCGCCAGTTTGACGACTCTGATCGCACACTCACTGCGAATTGCTTCCGGATTCGTCTTTCCCAACTACTTCCGCCACGATGGCTCGCTCTACAACGTCGACGATGACGATGAGTCCTTCATCAAGGTCACTGGCGAAAAGGCGGACCGAAGCAACGCGCAGTTTCTTCAGAAGAGCAACCCGCTGCCCCTTGGTTTACGGAGCATCATGCGCCTCAACACCATCAAGATCAACCGATTCCTGTGGGATTTGCGCCACGTTCTCACGGACGAGTGGACGGTGAAGGCGAAGCTCCATGGCGTGTTCCGTGAGAAGTTCAACATGACCATCCTCCACGTCGTTGGTCTCAACCTGGCTGTCGCGACCGTGGTGGCCTACTTCATGTCAGGCTCGCCCTTCCTGTCCAACTTCATGGGCTACGGTTTCTGCTACGGCTCGTTCCTCATTATGTCCCCGACGACGTTTGCGACGGGCAGCTTGGTGCTGATCGGACTCTTCTTCTACGACATTGTCATGGTCTTCTACACGTAAGTTGTCCCTCATCCCAATTGTCATGAACCCCTCAACGCACGTCACCTAACAACTCACCAGCCCTTACATGATCACAGTCGCCACCAAGCTCGACGTGCCCATCAAGCTCCAGTTCCAGTCCGCCGCTCGCTCCAGCATCCTCGGACTCGGAGACATCGTCGTCCCGGGTATCGTCATGTGTCTCGCCCTCCGCTTCGATTTGTGGCGTCACTACCAGCGCCAAATCAAGTACATCCCGACCGATCTCAAGTCCGACAAGCACGACGCGACCTCTGGCGACGTGGTCACCGTGAGCCAGATCCAGCACGTCGCGCAAAAGGCCCCGTACCTCGATATCACCAACTGCTGGGGCGACTGGTTCTGGTCCGCCCCGTCCTGGTTGGGTCTCTTCAAGGCTGCAACGGAGACGGCGCCGCCGACTGTGCGAGGATCGACTTTCAGCAAGACGTACTTCAACGCCTCCTTGGTCGGCTACACTATCGGCATGGTGACTACCCTCGTCATGCTCGTCGTCTTCAAGCACGGCCAGCCTGCGCTGCTGTACCTCGTCCCCGGCGTTCTCAGCTCCCTCTGGTTGACCGGCCTCGTGCGCGGCGAACTCAAGGAGATGTGGATGTACACGGAGGACGGCAGCCTCGACACGCGTGACGTCGTCGTCGAGCTCGATGGAGACGGCAACGTTGTGAAGGAGATCAAGAAGGATGAGGATAAAAAAGACGAGGAGAAGAAGAAGAAGAAGGACGAGGAAGAGAAGGCTGCGGAGGAGAAGAAGGCTATCGAGAAGCGGGATGCCGAGAAGACTGAGTATAGCATTGTCGCCTTCTCCGTCACTGCTCCGCTTAGAAAGCCGAAGACGCAGTGATTTGGGATGGTGGCGTCAGGATACGGTAGTTGACTATGGAAAGGGAAGATGGCTGCATCTAAATTTGTGCATCAGGCGGCGTTGAGGTCTAGATTTCATCTTCACCATCCGGATAGCGGATATTGGTAGCTAAATACTATCAACTCTGGGTTGACCGGAACGAAATGTGCCCCATGGGAAAAGGTGGCAATGCATATGCCCTCCTGCCCTCCTTACACAGTATCGGACGCGAATGTCATGAAGTGGCAAAATATCAACCACGTGACCGTAAAGAAGGTGCTGGCTCAGTCGCTCCTTCCCATACCTCTCCTACCTGCCGTGGGAAGCCTCTATATATCCCCTCAACTCCATTCCCGTCACCAGCACAGCAGGCGCCCCCTTGGGGGTCAGGTCAAAACTGGCTGGGTGGTGGAGTGGTTCGAGTCCACACAGCCTAATCGGTGAAGGCTGAGAGAGAGGTCCCGTGTTCGAGTCCCAGCTTGTGCGCTCAGAGATGTAGCCCCCGTTCGCCACCGGGGGGGTGAACTCTTTTGCCTTTTTTTGATGTCTTTTTCTTCTTCTTATCTTTATGTCGGCCCAGAGGTGACTTAGGTGACGGGTCTGTGGTTGGAAGATTTGCTCATACTCCCCCGTTTTGGACTGATTGCTGCTCTGTTGCCTTCCCACATCACGACTCTTCTCGATGAGAAACATGTGTTGACGGCTGTTGCCTTGGGTAATGGCGACCGTTGCGACCTCTTTCTTTGGGCAGGTCTATATCTCCCACCGCGAAAAGGCAGCGAGCTTCCAACAACGGCCGAAAGAGGACCGGAGGCTGTGACGAGGAAGATTAACCAACTCCCATTGTGCCGAAATAACATTCCTTCCCCAGTATCAGGTGATAATATCAAGAATGGCTGACTCGTTGCTTCCTACACTCAGGTAAACATTACTACAATAGTGGAGACCCAAGGTGTATAGGTCAGGTCACTTCCGTTCCTGTCACCAGCCAGGAGGCGCCCGCCTAGGTCGACGGGTCAGGTGAAACTGAATAGGTGGTGGATTGGTCTAAGGTCAACAATTAATGATACGTTTACACGACAGGCTCAGCGAGTACCCGAGTTTGAATCCCAGCGTGAGCGCCCAAGAGATGTAGCCTACCGAGGCGAATTATTTTTCTTTTTCTTTTAGCGGCCGGTCTTATTTTTACTTCAGCCTTGGTGTTTGCGCTGAGGAATATTTTAGCTGTGTGGCTTGGAGCCTAGACTTGCGGCAGGCCTCGTTCGTGTTGTAGTATGCGTATAGGAAACCAGTTGGACGTGTATGTTGAGAGATGTGTTGCCGTTTGTCGAGAAGTAGCTGTGTAAGTGGCTACTATGGCCTAGGGTTGCAAATGCAACAACGAGATCAACGGCTTGAGATAGGCTTTATGGTATTCTCTAATCAAGAATGGGATCTTTCTACTATCTCGTAAATGGACTTGGTGAGTTTCGGGTGGCCCAAAACAGCGATGCCGTAGTCGCCTTTCGTTTTCCGCGTTGGGTCTGTAGGATAAAATCGATATACGGGGTCGGAATAAATCTTGCTCTACATCAGATCAGCATTCTAAAGTATCAATCCGTTGAGGTGTGTTATTGAAAAGTGTATATTGGTCTCAAACTAGTTCTTCTATGTTTGCCCGAGCCTCCGATTCCTTCCCATCCGATCTACAAGGCTTTGTTGATGCCACATGCCTAGACCATGAGTTTCCGGGCGCCGGCATCAATCATAAACGTTTGTATACGCACACTACCCACAGAATCCTTCTCAAGCTTTATGAGCTTACAAGTAAAGTCGAATCTCCTTGGGAGACGTTTGTCGGACTCTTCTTGAGCAATGTAAGTGCCTACCATACTCCGGCTCTAGAAAGAAGCTTGCTAATTCATGTACTAGTCGGCCGTCCTAGCATCAGTCAAAATACTGCAAGATCGCAACATCTTTAGGAAATGGAAAGATAATGGGAGCAGACCCCATGAGTTGCGCTGAGCTCTCAGATCTCGCGGATGGTCCCTGCGATCCTACTTTACTCTGTAAGACCCGCCGTCTTTGATTTATTGCAACAGTAACTAAGCCTCTCCAAGACCGACTCCTCCGTCTACTGGTCTCAAACAACGTAGTCGAGATGACTCCCGACGGAACCTACAAACCCACAAAATTCTGCACTCAGCTCGCAGACTCGGACTTTGGCACCACCGCAGAATTCTGGCAAAGTGATCCCCTATCCCCCCTCCCTTCCTCTGCTAAACTTTTTGAAATCCACAGAATTTCTAACTTTCGAGTAAAGCTACGATCACACAGTTCCCATGTTCACCCACATGCCCACCTTCTTCCAAGAAACATCCTACAAAAACCCTCGCAGCGCTCGCAAAACGGTCTTCGACTCGGCCCACGGCTGGCAAGGCGGCCTCTTCACCTACCTCGAGGCCAACCCGGCGCAAGGCAAGGCTTCGAGGTTGTACTTGGAGGATTTACCTTCCGTCCTAGCGGACAACAAGACTTCCGTGTCGAAGGGGATCAATAAGGTGGCGTATGATTTCTGCACGCCTCAGCCGATCAAGCGTACGTTTCATCCATCTCCTTGCTCGAGTAGGCCAACCTCGAGTGCTCAATCAAAACTGGCAAACACCATGAAGACGCCCGCGCATACTACATGCACCACATCCTCCACGACTGGCCCGACAAACAAGCCCGCAAAATTCTCGAGATTCAAAAGGCCGCCCTGAAACCGGGGTACAGCCGCATCCTGATCCACGACCAAATCATGGACGACGACGTCCGGGCCGTCCACCCGCACGCCGCCGTCTTCGACATCAGCATGATGGCGTTTTGGCGCTGCGCAGGAGCGCACGGAGAAGGAGTGGAGGGCGCTGGTCGAGTCGGCTGGGCTGAGGGTCGTCAAGATTTGGAGGGTGCCGGCTGCGGTGCAGGGGGTCATTGAGGTTGGGTTGCGGGAAGGGTCGAAGCTTTGAGGGTGAGTGTGTGTTGTATTTGGTTATTTTGAGAGGCGAATGACTATACGACTTTGTTTTACTAACCGGTGTACGTAGGAAGAATAAACTGGTACGAGTTGAAACTTGCAACATGTTAAAGACGCCCCCAAACTGGTATTGATTCGGCAAGAAATCACGAAAAAGAGTTCACCACCGGTGTGGCTACATCTCTTGGTGCTCGTACTGAGAAATTTCTGATGCCCATGCTGGGATTCGAACTCGGGGACTCGTATACGCTTAGCCTGTCGTCGAGTAGGCTGGTTGGCGATTTGATTGTTGACCATAGACCACTCCACCACCCAGCCAGTTTGACCTGACCAACCGACCTAGGAAGGCGCCTGCTGTGTGTGCTGGTGACAGAATTGGACTCGGAGGGGTGGGTATATGAGGGCTTCTCACGGCAGGGATGGAAGGTGCAGGCCAGCACGCGCTTGCCCTGCTTCGCAGCCACGTAACTTCGTCATGGTTGAGATGATTGATGTTATTTTTCGAGGATCAGAGCAGCAATTGTTAGAGCTTGCAATTGAATTGGCAGCTACATTCAACTTGATTATTATCGCTGGAGGTTGAATCTCGGCGCCAATCTTGATGTTAGACCGTCGACGCTGGCCCTTGACGTCTGGTTCGGTACCGGAACTCCAACGGGCACCGGCCCCACTGCCGATGAGCAGAGGGGATCCACCACTCCCGGCCGACCGAGGAAACTCCCCCGGAGACAAAGAATCAGTTAAGAAAAGTTGCTGGGTGTGCGTACGATCGATCAGAGAACAAACCAGAATACTGGTGTTCGCAGATTGCATGTAATGGAGGGACAAGTAAAGGGTGAAGGCGTATGCATTACAACAGAGTCTTATTGCAAGAACATCTCATAAGGTAGTCCATGACATCCTCGGACTCTCATCCCCCCTTCCTAAACCATCATACTCCACACATAAAATCAGCGCTTCAGTCTCAGAGTAAGACTAGACCAGCAAAGTCTCCAAAGCAGAGTCAAATTCCCAGCACCTCAAGCCAAAAACCACCCCCGTATCCTTTTTCCATGAACCTTATCCGGAACTTCGGCACGCGACAAATCCACGCCACCCGTCGATAGCGTCGTCCACCTCGGGCCGTTGTGGAGCCTCCATGCTCCGGGGGTATAGGCCGGCATCAGTCAGCCCACGCTAAACCGCTTCCAAAACCTTTTTGCAACGACCAGCGACCGACCGTGTAATGTGAATTCGAGTCTATTTCCATGAAAATAACCCTTGCAGCGACGTTCTTCCGGTGCGAAGGCTTCCATGGTTTCATGACTGTGGTCGTTATCTCAGGGTGCTCTGGCCTGGACGTGCTAAACGTGGGGTAGAATGGCACCATCGCTGATTTGATCATTGTAAACCATAAGATCATAGGAATGACCCAGTCCGGAATCAAGAACCTCTCCAATCATTATCGACAGGAGGTCCTCTATCAGGAACGTATGGATATAGATCGGCGTCCACCAAATATCTTGATAGGCACATAAATGGCAGTAGAGTAGATATGGTTTAATACAACCCATGTATTAATGCCCTTGATAGGGATATCATGGCTGATTACAAGTTCAGAAAATAGATAGGTATCATGATAGTGAGAAATGTCGAGAGCTAAAGCTGCTCATAGGCCAACATCTCCTATTTACATCTTCCCCCAGATGTTTCCTCCCCTTTGGTGCTAGACAATCCAGCAAGTTTGAAGGACAGCGAGTCCTTTAGAAGATGGTGCTTGCCCACCGTCTCCACGTGGGCCAAGCGGCAACCTTCGCGCGGTAGGCGTTAATCTCATCCCAGTCAACCTCACGGCGACCAGCATCGAGGTCGATCTCGGAAAGCTTCAAGAAGCCCTTGCGCTTCCACAGGTAACCGCAAGCCCAGAAGAAGAGAACGACGGGCAGGGCAAGGTAAGCCTTGAAGAAGTCCTCGGCGGAGGCGAAACCACCACCAGGGGGGCAGATGGCGACGAAAAGCTGGGCGATCAAAGAGATGGCAATCAGGAACAGGCCGAGCCAAGAGCCGGCAACACCACCAATGGCCCGGAAAGGAATCTCATCAAGAGTGTGACCCTGAGCCTTCCACGCAGCGCGGAAACGAATGTGGGCGGCGCAGATGGAGCCCCAGGTGAAAAGGGCGGCAAGACCAGAAAGCGACAAAAGCCAGTCGAAAACAACACCACCGGAGGATGCCATGCGGACGTAAGCCAGGCCACCGAAAGCGAGGTTGAAGACGACGGAAGGCAGGGGGCGGCCTGATCGGTCAATGTAGGCGAAAATCTTGGGTGCGTATCCCTGCTGGGCGAGGGCGGTCAAGGTACGGGAACCACCGTAGACGCAAGAGACACCAATAGAGACAACGGAGACGAGAATGACGACGTTCATGAAGCTGTCGTATCCGTAGAGGTGGGCATCAAGAGGGGCCAGGACGAAGGGGGAAACACCATCAGCGTAGGGGTTGGCGGAATTCAGGAGACGCTCGTCGGTAGAGCTGACGAGAAGGCCGACAAAGGTAAGACCCAAGACGTAGAAACTGGCGACTGTGATCAGTCAGAGATCGAGACATTTGACGTGGGAGATACTTACAGGGTAATACGCCAGAACACCTGCTTGATGGCACCGGGAAGGGACTTGGCGGGGTTGGCGGACTCAGCGGCAGCGAGACCGACAAGCTCAGTACCGGAGAAGGCAAAGGCGGCAGTGACGAAGACAGAGCAGAAGCCACGGAAGCCGTTCTGGAACGCGCCGGGGTCGCTCCAGAGACGGTCGCCCCAGTACTCATCGTACTTTCCACCCTCAGGGCCGCCACCGCAGATAAGAATGAGGGCGACGACCATAAAGATGACGGTGGCAAAGAGCTTGAAAGTAGAGGAGATGAACTCTTCCTCGGCGAAGCCCAAGGTTCCAAAAACGTTGATGAAGATGATGAAGAGCCAGAAGATGGTGATCCATACAGCGACACTTATTTCCTTGTTCCAATATTGTATCGTAAACGAGCAGACTGTTAGTTCGAGTGGTAAGACAATAACCCATTGGAAGACCTGTGACACGTTAGAGCTTTGCGATGCGATGCGCTGCGCTGTGCGGCGAGAAGTGACTTACATAATTCCAGCCCATAGCGAAACCCCAGGAAGGGTCGAGGAAGCGAATAGAGTAGGTGTAGAAACCACCAGAGACAGGGTACAGGACAGCAAGTTCACCGAGAGCATAGACGACGTTGAAGATCATGACACCAGCGATCAAGAAGCAGATGAGGACAGAGCCCGGGCCACCCTTGGTAAGGGCGCTACCGGAACCGACGAAGAAACCAGCACCGATGGAGCCACCGATGGCGATCATTTGCAAGTGACGAGGCTTCATGGAGCGGTCGAGCTCAGTGTCACCGGTTCCCCAGTCACCTAACGTTATCACGTTAGCGATCCATCTACGAAGAGATCTCTGCGCGAGGCGATGTGATGCTGGCCCGTTGGAGACAGGCCCGAAAGCAGTTCATGCCGGTGATATTGAGGGTTTAGACTTACGGCGCTGGAAACTCTTGAGATTCAAGCCATTGCGGGTCATGAAGTCATCCTCGCGAAAGTTCTCGGGAACGTGGCCATCACCGGCGGTGTGGCGGGCGCCCTTTTCGGAGTCGTACGTGGGCGGAACCACGCCGACTTGGGCAGCGTCCTTGGTCATGATGAAGATATCGCTCGATAGCTCTGGACAGAGGCTAGAGACTGGTTGAAAAGAAGAAGTAGTGCGCGTTGACGCTTGCCGTGACCTTTGCCCTTGTCAACGACGGGAGAGTAACAAAGCTGGTGTTACTCTGTAAAGGACTACAAGAGTATGAGGGGTAGGAGGAATGACAGGAGAGGATGAGATGGAGAGGGAGGCGGCGCGGGATGCCGTTTAATAAAGGTTCAAGACAACACCCGGAATGAGAGACGGAGACGGGGATGGGGGAGCTAAGGCAGAGGGGAGAAACAAGCCAGGCGCAACGACGACGACGACGACGACGACGACGACGACGACGGCGGCGGGAGCGAAGACATGTGCAGGTGCATTGCCCCATGTATAGGAACCATGTGAGGTATCTGTAAAGGTACTGTGTAAAGATGTTGGACAAGCAGAAACGGACCAGACCAAAGACAGGGGGAAGGTGTGCGGGATGGGCAGGACTACCTGGCGAGATGGGTAGGGGTACGGCAGGCAGGCAGTTGGTAAGATACGGAGGGTAACTTTACGGATACACAGAAGGGAAACACGAGGGACAGACCCTCGAGACTTCCGTCGAGACTCGAGAGACATCGAAGCAGACAGAGGGAGGTGCAGCATATGGCTCGGGCGAGGAGCTGGACCTGGACCTGGACGAGAAGGGGACCAACCAACTTGAACGCGCTCACCGGCGCGAATCCAACAGATGGGAAGCTGCAACATGGACTAGGGAGACCAGGGAGACCCCGGCTTGAGTGAACAACCCAACGCCCCCTCCTCTTCTTCCTTCCGTGACCCTACCTTGCCTACATTGTACATGATTTCCCGATGGAGGGAGTACATTGTTTCTACAAAGTACAAAAGTTGCCAAGGGCACCTTGCCTGTCTTACGTTAGTCCCTTGGTGTTTTTCTTCTCCGTCTTCTTCGTCTGCTTCTTCGTTTCCGGGATACCTTCTCCCCGGGAAATCACCCATGATAGCTGTGCCGCTAGCTTGCAGAAAATGCCCAGGAGGTAGTAGGAAGGTGACCTAGAGTTTGAGAGGTCTAGACAGGTAGATGAGTCTCTCCGGCAGAGTCTTGGCAGGCGATTGGACCGGTCGGTCAGCCGTGAGACGGGAGGGAAGGAAGGGTAGGTCAAGGGGAGTGAAGGGGGACGACCGGCATCTAGCAGTAGTGTAATGTAGCACAGCTACGCAAAGCCCACGGTTGAGGTTTACACTACACTTCCATCGTACATGAGAATGCGGATGCGGATGGCGGATGTAAGGTATCATG